CCGTCCATTCTTCAACAAGGCAGGGGTGACACGTATTCTTCCGTGCAGCGAGCTTTCGTTGCGCGCAGCGAGGTCGCAGAGGAATCTCTTTCTGTGCAGGCGTGAGGAAGCTCTTGGCAGGCACGACGCAGGTATTCGTGCGCAGACGAGGAAGCTCTTTCTGTGCAGGCGTGAGGAAGCTCTTGGCAGGCACGACGCAGGTATTCGTGCGCAGACGAGGAAGCTCTTTCTGTGCAGGGGTGAGGAAGCTCTTGGCAGACACGACGCAGGTATTCGTGCGCAGACGAGGAAGCTCTTTGCAGAGATGACGCAGGTATACGCGCAGTCGACGCAGGTGTGCGCGCAGGCGACGCAGGTGTGCGCGCAGACGACGCAGGTGTGTCCTTGTCGGCCACGGTAGTTAATGGGTGGAACACTGAGGTTACACGTCTATGCTAGGTTACGTAAGGTAGGACCGTAAAACATAACTAAATATGGTAATAGTCCCTTCAAGAAAGCAAGAAAGACTGATGGGGAGCTACTAACTACTAACGGTAACTAAACATGCATCAACAATAAATGCTTTTAAAGTAGCGCTAAGAACATACGACCTCTGACCCTGACCTCACGGACAACCGACTGTCATTATTTGACAATATGAATATGCCTAACGATTTTGTCTATTTGTTTTGGTTGTTCCGTTGTGTTTGTATGATTGATTATTTGTACCCTCTGTTTATATTATTTATTGTCCTTTGCTATGATTGATCATTTGATTAATCTGTTTCATTTTGTTTAATTTTATTGTATTCCATGTTGTCCAATGTGTATGTTCTGTTGGGCTACCTTGGAAATCAGTCTTTCAGAGACTGAAGGTACCACCCAACTGTTTTTAAGAGCAATAAATAAATAAAAAGCTGTACACTGGAGCAGGTGGGTGGAACGATTTGCTTCCATTTGGCACACTAGCTGTCGGTAGCACCGGTCTTTTGTTAAGAATTTTCTTAGTCGTAAAAACTGTAGTTTCTATGTTGAGTTTTACCTAGAATTGCAGCATAGCATTGTCTTCAAACAGTGAGTTGTGCTGTAATTTTTTGTCGGCCAGTTGTGTTCAGCTAGGGAAAGATGTTTAGGAATTTTGAAGTTCGTCAGCATCTGAGTAATGGCTGCCTGTTGGGTCGAAGTGGAGTCAGTGGATCATGGAGAAAACGTAGTAGGCCGGGAACCACTTGTACAGTTTGTGGGTCCTGGCAAGGCAAGCAGGAAGGGAGACCCTTGCCTTGAGTTGAATATTTTATACAGTATGGTAGTTTAGTTGGTTTTGTTTTATATTATACTAACGTACTAATACTGTAGTGTGTTCAATACGTGTAAATGAACAAGATAGGATTGGTGGGTCCCAATGCCAGTATTCAAAAAAAAAAAAAGAGAGAAGAGAGGTAGGAGCTGATTGCAGGATGATGCCTTGGAAAGCCAAACATTCGGGCAACATTGCCGGGTAGCGGGAATGTTTGGGCATCACGAGAGCATTCGGCTGGTAGGGACTTCAGTTTATGTTTCCATGGGTAAATTGCATTGGTAGACTTAGGTAGGGAGACTAGCTATATCTAGGAACACCATTTGTGATCAAAAGGGGTAGAAAATTATTGATCAGGAGATGAGGCCAAGGGAGAGGATTTAAGTCCAGGATTCAGTTTATTCATAATCAGGTTCTGCGGTTTTCTCAGATTTGAGTTTATTGAGGGCATGTTGTTGCCATGAGTTGTAAGTGGCAGGTGGTGCCACTGACTTTTTTTGAGGGCATGTTGATGCCGAGATTTGAGGGGTGACAATAGGTGTCATCTTGAAGGGTACATTGGTACCGTGTGCGGTTTGTGACAGCCCGGTAGGCTGGCCGCAGGTGTTACGAGTACTCGTGTTGAAGGGCACGTGGTTGGTGCCACTGTGTAGGGTCTTAGGAGAATAAGACCGGTTGTAGTACATGTGTGTGTGCCATTGGTTGCATGCGTTGTTCCACCCCACCCCAACCCCTGCAGGTGAACTCCGCAGGATCGACGTGAGGAAGACGACGTCCAGACGGTCCGACACGCATAACGTAACGATGCGGTCGTGAGAGCACCTCGCCGGGATGCCGAGGGCACTGGCCCAGCACTGCATCTTCCAGACGGACGGAGTTCCTGACTGACGTTCCTGTGGTCCTGTGATGCGTCCAGAGACGGCGGGAGCGCGCAAGCCGGTCACCAAGGGGGAGAGCGGAGTGGCGACGCGTGACAGCCATGAGGGCACGAGGAAACACTGTTGATGAACTAAGAGAACTGATAAAGAACTGATTCATTGATTCGTTGATTATGGACAGTCTACAGGACTCTTATAAGCTGTAGAGTCGTTACTTGAGATAACAGTATAGAATAATGTTCACTAACATTGAGTGTTATACTCTATTTTAGTCGATATACGTGTATCATACTTTTTGTTATTTTTTATAACTTTTGTTCTGACGTCACCTCACGGCAACGCGGACGTTGCCTGTTCAGGAAGGGAGAGGTGTCACGGAGTAGACGGAGTAGATGACGTAACGGTTAATTTAATATCTATATTAATCAGTATAAATTCAACACTGAGGACACACTGAGGACATTCAAGGTCATCAACCATTCAAGGACACTGTTTACACTGTAAGGACATTTAAGGACAGTACAGGAATTTAAGGGTTAATGGGTGGAACACTGAGGTTACACGTCTATGCTAGGTTACGTAAGGTAGGACCGTAAAACATAACTAAATATGGTAATAGTCCCTTCTTCTAGGCCACATAACACAGATTTAGGGACAACTTCAAGTTCAGTAATAAGAAGTCCATTCATTTAAAAAGAAGTAAACAAGTCCCTTAATTTATTTTAAGGTAAAACAGAGTTGTCATCAGAGAGATAGATGTTTTCTTGAGTCAGTCTTCTCTTGAGCGGAGCGAGAGAGGCTCATACTTTGTGTAACTCCGTTAACTGGGGAATAAACCACATTAACAACTACAACTTTCCGACTAATCTTTTGTGGACGACGCTCAGAGACCACCGTACAAAAGGGAGCATCGCCACATTATGTGTACCGGTCTGATGCAAACCGGCTAAGCAGTATACATCAAGAGGATGAAGAAGCCAGTGCTGCATATAACAGCATATTATATATGAAAAAAAGAACATCCAGTACCAACAAGAAAGAAAGATGAAAGAATGAAAGAAAGAAGGAAAGGGCCTACATGATCCTGGTAACACCACAGATGGAATATGCTTGCAGTGATTGACAACGAAGTGGCTGGAAAGCCCTACAAAACCGAAGGAGGAATGACAGACAAGAGTACAACATCATCAAGTCTTGTATATAAATTAATACATGTATATATGTTTTACTATCACACTTGTCTTTTACACCCACATATTCAGGTCATCTTGTTTTATGTGTACCGGTCTGATGCAAACCGGCTAAGCAGTATACATCAAGAGGATGAAGAAGCCAGTGCTGCATATAACAGCCTATTATATGAAAAAAATATGCACCAGCACCAACATGAAAGAAAGAAGGAAGGAAGAAGGAAAGAAAGAAAAGGAACAGAGATTGTACCGGTCTGATGCAAACCGGCTAAGCAGTATACATCAAGAGGATGAAGAAGCCATTGCTGCATATAACAGCCTATTATATGAAAAAAACATGCACCAGCACCAACATGAAAGAAAGGAAGAAGGAAAGAAAGAAAAGGAACGGAGAAAAGAAGAAAGAAAAAAAAGAAAAAAAAAAAGAAGAAAAGAAGGGAGGAGGGTGGTGGGGTGTATGGGGTGTCAGGGAGGGTCCGCACCTCTGCAGGGGGGGCTTGCCATGCCCTGTGGCAGTCCACAGGGTAGCTCGTCCTGCATTGGCTCCCACCTGACACTCAGCTCTCACCTGTGGCTCCTAGAAGCTGTAGCATGCACAGCGGCCACACCCCGGGCAACCGCTTTGGCAGGCGGGCTAAACCAGGTGAGGGTAGCCAGTTGGGTCGCAAACCCACCGGTGAGGAACATGTCTATCCCAGCATGTGAAGACTGAACGTAGCAGATAGAGCAGAGGAGATCTGGGAGGCTGAAGAAAGATGAACAGCAGCTGTAGATGGTATCTGATGTTGGAAGGAATAAATTGTATTAAACATACCATGTACTGAGTCTGTGTTTTTTTAGAACCAGTTAATACATTTGTATATTAGGTGATTTATTTTGAAAACATAGAGAATGATAATTATTATCTAGTAGTTTTGGTACGGACACGTGATCTGCCACAACAACCTGGCTAAGACCATCTTACAAGGAACACTGGAAGGGAAGCAACGGCGAGGCCGACAGAAGAAATTCTGGCAGGACAACATCAAGGACTGGACGTCCCTCGCCGTCCCACTACTCCTGACAACAGCCCAACATAGGTAAATCTGGCAACACCTCTGCTACAAGGTCTGCCTTGTCCCCCTATGACCAGTGTCAATCATGGGACTTATAAAGCCAGGTGGCAGGGAGAAGGCTAAAGGACTGGTAGCTCATTCATCCTGTACATGTATCTGATGTTCACACAGTCAATGTGTTCAGCAGACAGTGGTTCAATATGTTAGTAGTTTATAGTCAATTGTCTTCTAAAATAATCCATTAATTAGAAAGCCAAGATTAAATCAATGCTGGGGCATTTGCTCTAACTTTAAAGATAGTGCATTTCCAATACAATCCAATGGAAATGTCACCGTGTCTAACATCTGCAACTTTGACCCAGAGATGACATGACCTGTGCGTAAAATGCACAATGGCCCAGTGGGTTGGACAAAATTCAGCACCCCGACACTGAATGTCATATGATCAACATTGTACATTATACCCGGTCAGTAACAAGTTAGACAACTACAAGCGTCACTGTCTGCAAACGGAACCTACGCCAGACACGCATGTATCTTTCGCCATCCTTCCTCTAACAGCAGATTTTTCTGCACCTATCTGACTCTTGTAACGGAAAACATGATTCGTGAGAAGACAGCGCGTGGACTTTGGACATCCTACAGAGTCGTGGAAACTTCTGCTGTAGAAAATCTGGCAGCTGGCACATCAGTTGAAAATGTGAGCTCTCTTGAGGTCAAAACCGTTGTCGCTTCTGTTTTGGAAATCGGTGACGACATCGGCAGCAAGGATGGGTCCGAGTCAGAGTACATCACTTTGTTGATCCCGGAGGATCTTGAGAGCCAAATGACATCGGAACATGGTGGGGAGATGACACAAAGTCAAGTACGTGGAACTGTGGTCTCAAAGCATCACCCAACATCTACAGACTTAACAGTGGCAGATGAACTGGGCAAAAGTCAGGTCACTGAGAATGGAGTAAGTGTAAACATTGCAAAGCAGCGTGCCACCTTCACAAAAAAAGGACCTGAAGAAACTGGCAGCAAGGCTCTAACAGATGGGATAAATCATGGGTATGAACGAATAGACTCTAGACAGATGAACTCTACTTCTGAGGTCAGTTTGCCGCAACGAAATGAGTCATCAAATATGCATGCCTTTGGCGCAGCACCGCAGGCGAACACAACAATAGGGGGAGGGAACAATGACGTACAGACATGTTCTACGAAAGGTGAGCACGCAGCTGACACACTGACGGGTCTGACACACGAATCTGATCGGGGTCAAAGTGCTTGGGGTCAAACACCTGCAGCTAAGCTTGGAACAAATAGAGGTCATGGAACTGTAACAGATGTAAAGAACGACTCAAGGTCAGTGCCTTTTTCAGTGGCAGACAATATGTGTGAAGGTCACACCTTGGAGACTGGGCTCAGTGGGAACATGGACAAGCCAAACAACACTTTCACAGAAAATGGGAAAGGTGAAACTGACAACAACAATGCTCTACAAGAAGGGGTAAACTCAGACCAATCATTCTCTACTCCAGAGGGCAGTTTTCCCACAGTTGAACCATCGAGTATCCAAGCCTCTGACCTAACACCGCAGGCAAATGTACCAGGTATGTAAGCGTGCTGAGTGACACGCTATAACGTGGCTTTGACGTGCACAGGGAACACACCATGACGGCAGTCATAGGGTGCTATATGGGGCACCAAGAACGGCTGTCTTTACTGTATCTATATCAACAAATTTATGTGGACAGGTAGTAATAGCCCACTCAAAAAATAGTTCAAGAATCATATTTTGTAGTGGTTGAGTTTTTATGACTGGCTGAGTTTACGAAAACATCGAATCATCGGCAAGTTCGTGCATCGCCCGTCGCTGACCGGCCGATCGCGGGACTCGTTCAGCCATCCATTCTGCAAATAAAGGAAGGAACACTACATGTCCTAATCTGCACTTTATTTTGTAGTATCTCCAGTAATAGTTTGTGTTTTTCCTTGTCTGGAGTAACTAAAATAGCTGTATAAACTGCGCGCCGCGCCGCGCCCGGCCGAGGCCGGCGGTCAGACAGAACGTAGCCACTTATTTTGATACGGCGATACGGCGCGAGTTGTAGATGTGCTTTTGACCAAAAAATATGGTATGGAGAAAATAAAGTGAGCGTATGCATTTCACCGATTGTGTATCTTATAAATTTAGAACGTTCTGTGGGGAAAGTCGATGAAATCTTCCGATTAGAACTCGCGGGTAAATCCAAAGATCGAACCGCTACCGAGTCGCCGTCGCCACGTGTTAGCCTGCGCGCCAGAACGCGGGCTTCTAAGTCGTTGCCGCGTGTTTGTCAGCACATCAAGACGTGTGGCGGTTCTTCACGTAAAACCATGTTGGTGGGTGCAGAAGGCCATCAAAAGGGTAAGATCTATTTTTTTAATACAAATGTTTTGTGTATATCGTACTTACGGTTTTAATAATAAAGGAATTTTCGCATCTTTTTCGTTATTCACGCTGCCGTTGTGGCGTGTTTACCGCACACTAAACCGGTTAGGTCACGTGCACATTGCAACGATCTCTCACGGCAAAATTT